TTTTGCCACGTGCGTTTTCAATCTTCGCTATCCATCGCAGGAAGAGGAAGCAATGCTGCTGTGTCTATGTAACGAGAAACTGATATAATAAAAGTATACAACCTCAAAATAAAGCATGGAGGGTTAGAGAAACGTATTAGCGAGACAGTGCTTGTAGATAGCCCTGATTTTGTTCCCAGTACACATGTGGCAGATCACAACATTCTTTACCTCTAGTTCTAGGGGATCTGATGCCCACATCTGGCCTCTGTAGGTGCAAAGCTCACTCAAGGTATATACAACATACATGCAATATAGACACTAATACACATACAATAAGTAAATATTTTTTAAGTCACACATAGGTGAAGAACACATAGCCTAAACTGAGTAAACTTAGACAATTTTACTAGATGGAGAACAAGTATTTTGGAGGATTGTAAACTATTATTTTAGGTTAATTTCCAGTATCTTTACTTCAATTTCCTCCTAGTGAAGATTGACATCATGAACAATACCATCCCTAAGCATTTTTATTAAGTCAGAGTAAGAAAAAAATCAAGATATTTATATGGCCTGAACACTCACATTAAAATCATGACCTTTGTAACAACAAAAATCTTAATAACAGGTTCATTTGCAAATATGAGGCTATTAAAAATGTAGAACACATGCACTTTTGTTTTTATAAGAAACTATGTATGAAAGAAACACCAAAATACAAATATAGAGCACATAGTCATGTGCTACATAATTCAATATTTGTGAGGACTGATCCACACTTGTCATGGTGCTCCATAAGACTATTATTGAGCTGAACTACTTCCATTGCCTAATGATGTCCTAGCCATCATAACTACATAGCACAACATATTACTCAAAATTCTGTGGTGATATTACTAATTTCAGAAATGTATAATTGATACAACTCTATACAGCCTATAATAATAAATAATGAAAACTACTAATGACTTATAGATGTTCTTTCATACACTTTTGCTGCTTTTAGGATTTCTGTTCTATTTATAACAACAAAATCTTTACTGAAGAAAGTAAGAGTGTAATATGATTACCCAATTAGCTCAATATGAAAGAATTAATGTCTATTTTGTTTATATATCTGAATAAGAAATATCTCAAACATCCAATTATTTTCCAGTTATAGGATAAGCAACTTATTATAGAATTATATATATAATATTATACTTACATAATAAAAATTTATAATGTATACTATATTTGATTACTATGTGATTATAGAATATGATATCATATATTGTGTAATTAGTCACACCTTCTTTAACACCAAAAGTGTATTCTTATAATATTGTATTTTATTAATAAAATACAGTTTTATTGTTAAAATATAGTTTTCAGAGCATGGAGACATTTTACAGTCACTCATGCAATCCAAAAAATAGAGCTAGCTTTCCCATCTATTCTAAATCATGCTCTAGTGAACTGAGATTCAGAACAAAAGAGAGTTAACACCCACTGACAAATTTGAAGACATTGATGACATATCTAAAGCTAACAACTTTATGTTTAGCATTGTATGTAATAGTGGCCAATTTGGTATTTCACTAAAATTCAACTATCATTTAATCATGTGAAGATTACATCAGCACATCAAAGTTCATTCATTTATCAATACCTTTGTTGTGTAAAATATATCTTCCCTCTTCACAATGCCTTCTGCAATCTTGCTTCGGATAGCCAGTCCCACCTCCTCTTCATTTTGATACCTAGAAGCAGAATCAATATGCCAGAAACCAACATCTATCGCTATTTTGATGGCTTCTGTAGCTTTAGTTTTGGGTACCTATAAGATCAACAGAAAGCAGTATTTAGAGATAGATATGACCTAGTATTATTTAAGGCACAAGAACGAAACATCTTCAGCATCAAGCTTCCACAAGTCTTCAATGAGGTGTCCATTTGCAGTAAAGAATCCAACCAAGTCTGTCTGGACCTCTTACACTGAGTCACAAGAGTAGGGTAGCCCAGGAACCAGTCAATTTGTCCAGTCAATTACATATAATTGACATTAGGGTTTCCACTGACATAGAACTGATATGTGCTAGAAGGATGCCTATGTATATGACAGCATGAAATTTATACAAGAAAAAGAGCAAGTGACCACATAAATAAAAAACACTGTAGAATCTTCTATGAGCTTTCTTCTAGGGAAGTGAAAAAGAATACATCAAATTTTCTAACACTGAATTTACAAAATAAAGTCATTCAGATATAAACTATTTAGTCTTCACTACTAAGTAGTTAATTTGTAGCTTGGTAAACAACCCCTAGTTCATCCCAGATGAAAGAATGCACACATGAGTCCTACTGTTTGCAGAGAGGGTTCATGAAAAGTTTTCATCCTTGTTGTGAAATGGAAAGATTTCAGCATTCCCAGGGATCATCTAAGGTTCAATTTGTCAACAAAAATTTGAGGAGTTAGAAGTATGATATTAATTATTTTTACACAGGCATTTTCTTTGTATAACAATACTAAAGACTATTTTCAAAAGCACAAATCCATGCCTAGGAAATAAAGGACATAATACATTAAAATAGTCAGGTACATGTCCTCATTTAAGTTACAATTTCTTTGCTTGTGGGAATTGTGGTTCAATAAAAAACAAGTTTTTGTTTTATCAGCTAAATTTTATTAAAATCTATAACTGCATTGAAGGAAGAAAATGAAATGGTGATGTAATAAACATATGAGAAAGTGTATATTGCTATGTAAAATTGAGGGAAATACAGGAAAAAGTAAATATTTTCCCCAATTTATTGTCTTAGTTAGAATTTCTATTCCTGTGATAAAACACCATGACAAAAGCAACTTGTAGATAAAAAGGTTTATTTCATCTTATAACTCTCAGATCACACCGCATCACTCATGGAAGTCAGGGAAGAAACTCTAGGATCGTGTCTGGAGGCAGGAGCTAATGCAGAGGCCATGGAGGATTGTTGCTTGCTGGCTTGCTTCTTTTTACTTGCTCAGCCTGCTTTCTTATCAACCTAGGACCACTAATCCAGGATGGCACCACCCACAATAGGCTAGGCCCTCTCACTCAATCACTACTTTAGAAAATTCTCTAAAGTCACATCTTATGGAGGCATTTTCTTAATTGACATTCTCATCTCTCAAAGGAATTTAGCTAGTGTCAAGTTGACATGAATCTATCCAGCACATAAACAAGAACAGCACAGCTTTAAAATGGGTAAATATATAAACACACATCTCAACAAAGGAACCAGTCTTAAGACATGGAGAGGTGCTTATTCTTACTGCAACTTGATATGCCTTGATTTGTTGATATACATGGGAAGCCTGTCACTTTCTGAACAGAGATGGAGGAGGAGTGAACTGGGTGGGTCAGGGGGTTGTTTTTGTAAGGGAATGCAAGGAGGGAAGGGAGGGGACACGAAAGTCAGGGTGTGAAATAAAGAAATTTAAAATAAAAAACATGCTCAGAACTCAGTACCATTGATCCTCATGCAGTGCAGTTGAAGGCTTGATTTAATTCTATCTCCCTAATTAGGATAGAGGAAAATGGAAGGAAAAACTAGAGTCCTCAAATTCTGCAGCAAAACTCATGTATCAGTCCTGATGCTGAGTGTATTCTGCCTTGTCCTCGCACAAGGACTTGTTCTACCATGGCAAAACAAAGAAGATGGCTAGCCCCACAGAATCACATCAGAACACAATGACTGCACATACCATATCAATCCCACTTAGCCAAGCCAAGCACTCTTTTTTGTTGTTGTTGTTGAACCCTCAGCCCCTTCTGCTACCATTACCTCTTGAGGTGCATAGGTACCAAAGCCCAGTACAGGGATGAAGTGACCATCATTTAGTCTCACTGTCTGCTGTTTAGAAGTCATGCTCCTCTGTCCTCGAACAAAGAAGATACTACTTCTGTCTTCGTAGGATTGCAAATAAATGCTTGGCCCAGCTCCATCTGTCTTGTAATGAATAAGTAATGTGAAGAGAAAATAAAATATTTTTTTCTGTTGTACTGGGGATGAGTGGGGATGGGAACAGAAGTGGTCAAGTCATTGGGAGGGAGGGAGAGAGAGGACTGAAAGAGGGGACTGGAAAAGTGGGTCATTTCAGGGGTGAGGTAGAAGCATAGTGGAATGGAAACTTCAAGGATGGAAATGGAATCTTCAAGGATGGAAATGGAATCTTCAAGGATGAACGAACCTAGCTATGACTCCAAGCAATGCAATATATTAAATCTGAACTGGCCATCTTGTGTAACCAGACAAGTTTTCCAGTAGAGGAACTGGGTCATCAACCCAGCCACAAAACATATGACTCACAAGTTATTTTGCCTGCAAGATATGTTGGAACAATGGAGGCTCAGAGCTCTTGAGAATGGCCAATCAATGATTGTTCAACCTTTAGGCTGAGATAACAAGAGGGATGCCAAGCCCAACATTGCCTAAATGGCCAGAGTCCAGAAGCTGGATGGCTCAGAGACATAGGACTGAACCAAACACAGTTAAAAACAACAAAAAGATCAATCAATCCATTTCTAAAATTTTACTATACTCATAGAGCTATGCCTAGTCCAAATGTCATCAGAGAGGCTTCGTCAGCAACTTATGGGAGCAGATACAGAGACCCACAAGCAAACATTAAGCAGAGGTAGAGAACTCAGAAGAAAACAGGGAGGAAAGGATTGTAGGAACCAGAGAATAACAGAGAATAACAGGAAAATACAGCCCACAGAATCAACAAAGCAGGGCTCACAGGGGCTCACAGAGACTGAAACAGTAATCACAATGTCTGCATAAGTCTGAACTAGGTTCTCTTCATAATGGCTATGGTTGTTTAGTGGTGCGGGAGAATTGTCTGTATTCTGTCAATCATGTTTTAAATAATGCTGATTGGCCAGGTAGGTGGTGTAGGCGGGAAAACCAGACAGGAAGTGGAGATGATGCAAGGAGAGCAGAAGAATTCTGGGGAGGAGGAAGCTGATTCCTCCCACGCCTGTCCAGATTACCGAAGCAGCAGGATGTGAGCTGTCCCACTGAAAAAGGTACTGAGCCACATAGCTAACATAGATCGGAAAAATGGGTTAATCAAGATGTGAGAGTTAGACAGTAAGAAGCCTGACCTAATTGGCCAATCACCTTTATAACTTACGGAGTCCTCTGTATGGGTGATTTTCTCTGGTACTAAAAAATTGTGGGGACCTGGTGGGAGGACAGAACAACTCCAACAAACAAACAGCCCCCCCCATCATGTTACAGTTTAGCTTAGGGTTTTTGTTGGACACCTAATGGTAGGAGTGGGGGTATTCCTCTTACTGAGTTGTCCTATCTAGCTTTGAAATGAGGATTTATGACTAGTCTTATTGCACCATGCTATGCCATGTTCAGTTGATATCACTGGGAAGCCTGCTCTTTTCAGAAAGGAAACAGAGGAGCAATGAATTGGAAATAGGTGAAGTCAGGCTCTGGGAGGAAGGGAGAGAAGAGAAGTTTTGGTTGGGATATACCGTATGAGAGAAAAATGAAAAAAAAAATACACAAATTTTGACAAAGGAAATGGATGGGAGAACTGATTACATTTCATTATAGACTCAAAACTAAATTTATAAAAAAATAATTGACCCATCTTTGACTTAGCACAGTAGGGGAAACAAACCAATATCTAATTTGATTTAAGGCCACTTCCATGAGATGGAACTCCTACCCAACACTGCTTGGGTGACCACGAACCAAAGACCAGATAACCCAGATACTTAGTATAAAACCAAATACCTCTGGGTTTAAAAGTAAAAAAGTAGTGATAAAATTACTCCTAGTGATATTCTGCTGTAATCATAAATCATTGTATAATTCAGCCAATATCAAAGAAACTTTCTTCTACAGCAGATGGGAACAAATACAGAGATCTGTACCTAGACATTACTCAGAGAGAAAGAGACCTTGGAACACAGAGCCCTAAATGGGATATCTCCATCAAATCCATCCTCTCTGAACTCAGGGATTTATGTGGAAGAGGAGACAGAATTTAAGAGCCAGAAGGGATGGAGAAGAAAGAGTCCCTCTAAATCTACTGAGCAAAGCTCATATCATCTCATAGAAACTGAAGGAGTAGACAACTTCATCAGGTCCTCTACATATATATCCTAGCTTTCAGGTTGTTTTTTGGGGGACTCCTGAGTATGTGAACAAGTAGGTCTCTGGTTCTTGTGCCTCCTCTTGGGCTCCTTTCCTTCTATTGGTTTGCCTTGTTCAACTTCAATGTGATGGGTTTTGTTTGGTTTTCTATTTTATCTTGTTTTTTTTTTAATCTTTTAAAAGCCTGCTCATTTCTAGTGAGAAACAGAAAGGGAGTGGATACAGATGGGAAGGGAGGAGAGGAGGAACTGGCAGGAATAGAGGAAGAGAAAACTCTAATCAGATATATTGTATGAGAAGAGAATCTATTTCCAATGAAAGGGAAAAATAGTAAGAACATCAAAGAACGTTCAAAAATAAAAATGTAAGTATCTAAAAAAGGTAATTGTTAACTTAGAAAAAAATAAAGAAAGGACTTGGAGTTTAGAGAGGAGTAGAGGAGTGGGGTTGATCTGGGAGGGGTCTGGGGAGGAAATGAGGAATGAATATGATCAAAGTACATTGCATCCATGTGTGAAATTAACAAAGAAATAATTTAAAATATTTTATTGGATTTAAAAGATTAACTATCACATTTTTATTCATTACTTTATCTTATTTTAAATCTACACATTGTCTCTTTATTCCTCCTTCATTATTTATATTTACCTATATATATTTAAATTTCTCTTTAGGACAATTGATAGTAATGTCTTTTATAATCTATCCTGTATTCCATCTTAAGTGCTATGCTTATATATTTTATATTTGACGTTATTTTGGCTATAATTGAAATAATACTTCAGATAGTTGTTTCTATTTTACTTCTTATAGTATTATTTTTTATTCCTGTTTTTATCTTCTATTTTCCTCTGTATTATATTCTTGGATCCTAATTAAATATTTTCCTTGTTTCTATCATTTTATCTTATGTTATGGGAATTCTGTCACCCACCCATTATCCATTTGAGAAGAGCATTTTGGTCCAAGAGACAGAATTTTCATTGGGGATGTACATGACCTAGTAAAAGGTGGTCATTTTGGAGGAGAAACAAGCGGCGGCAGGTGTAAACAGTTGCTTGAGACTCTGTTCAGGCTCCCCATTTACTCTTTAGTATTTTTGCACAGATTTTACACTTTAATAAGCAGGAAAATAAATTGTTTAATGTCTGATGTCAAACGTGGTAATAGTTAGAGTGCGTCCTTCCAGCATGGCTGCTCTGCAGTCTGGTGGAGGATGAACATTCTCTCACACATTGCTTTCCCACACGGCCACTCTCTGGATCAAATGCATGTAACCCACCCTGACTTCCGTGTTTCTGCCTTCCCAGGTGTAGACTCCTGGCCCTCAGTTGTGCCACCATACAGGTTCTGCTTGGTGTGCACATGCACAGGAGCAGGACCTGTTCCTGCTACCTTTCACATTTGTTCAGGGTGCCGCTGCTCCCAACTGCCATGTGGAATAGAATTTGGGTTCTACTCTACACAGGCACCGGGGCATAATCTTGTCCAGTCACCTTGATCATTAGCCCAACATGCTGAATCTTAGCTACCTTGGGGCCATGCTGGCTTCACACGGTGGTCAAAGTTCTTCACATCTGAATACCTTTAGATAACCCAATCCTCCAGGCATCATCTCCTCCTGGTGGTCAAATGCCTTCACTGCATCTACATAGCCCCATCTTCCAAGGATGAGAACTGGTAAGATACTTGGGAACTGGTAAGCAGGGAATTATGACTCACTTTACTGCTACTATGGATTGGATGTGAATAAAATAAATAAGGAGATAAACAACTTGGCTGGGACTGATATAATGTTAATCATAATGAAAATCAGTCTGGTAATTCATATCATTAAAATTGGTTTGATAACTATATGAGAAATTGACTGATAATATGGAGGCCTTTCAAATAATTACTAAACAGAACAATACAATCTTTACCACTAAGATAAAAGCTCTAGGAATATTTACTGATAAAGAGAGCAAAAGGAGATTGATAATATGCAAACCTTAGGAAAACTTATGACTCAAAAGATACAAGTCTTAGAAAAGGCCACTATTGACAATATGAAAGCCCTGCAAATGAATACAGAAAAAATTATACCATTTTGACTGATAAATTACAAGCCTTAGATAAATTTATTAAATCAGATAATAAATATATTCAAACACAGATGGAAGAATTTAGAGGAGAACCAACCTAATATTTACACTATGAAATTCCAGAGGAGCAGCCCAAGATTATTTTTTTTAAAAAATCAACCTTAATTTATCCAGTTACCATTCAAGAACCATCAATAGATGATAGATATCTACAAGGCTATGCAGGGAACCTACAGAAATGTTAGATTTGAAGACATTTAAGGAAGCAATAGTCTCATATGTTTTGCATTCACCTTTTGTGAGAAAGATGTTAAATTCATGGGCCACTCAGAGCAGAATTATTCCAAAAGACTGGACAGATTTAGTTACAGCAGTATTGGGATCTGCTCCTCAGTTACAATGGAATATGTTGTGAAGAGATGAGGCTATACCATCAAACAACAAGGTAGGGTTACAGGTTATGAGATTTCCCAAGATCAAATCCTTGGTGTGGGCCATTCTGCTGCTGTTCTTCAGCTTTGAATACTTGGGGCAAGATTCAAGAATTAGAAAAGAGAATTGAGCCATTTAACAAAATTATATAGAGCCTAAAGAAGTCTTCACTGAACTTTTGCAAAGATTGATTTCAATAGTAATTAGAATAATATCAGATTCAAAAGTTAGACAAATATTAATTGAATATTTGATTTCAGAAAATGCTAATTCATAATGCAAAAAGTAATATGGTCTTTAATGGTAACCTCAGCACCCATAATGGAATGGATCTGACATACAGTAAATATTGAATCTAATAATATGTTGATACTTGGATAGGAATATTTATTTCCAATAGTCTAAAGAAAAGTAAAAATGTCAAATATTTTAATTGTGGTAAATAATGTCACCTAAAAAGTAATTTTGGGCAGGGCATTTTTAGAAACAGTGTTTTTATAGAGATAATCCAAACAGAAGGCTCCAGCCTTCTCAAATATGCAGAAGGTGTGGCAAAGACTGACATTGGACCAATGAATGCAAATCAGCAGGGGACAGGCAAGATAACCCTTTGCCATCAAAAAAAAATTGTGTAGACCCTTTCAAGCCACCAAGAAAAATTTGGTTCAGTCATTACCTGTAAAAATGCAGAAATCCCATCACAGAGCAATTAAAGGATCTAATGCCTATTATAAAAATCCATACTGCTCTAGATGATGACTTTAGAAGACAAACAAAATTGTCAGGAGAAACTATAAGCAAATATTTTGGCAAACTTATTTATTTTTATTTATTATTTATTAAAAATTTTCACCTCCTCGCATTTCTCTCCATCCCCCCATTCCCTCTCCCCCTCCCTCTCCAGTCTTAAGAACAGTCAGGGTTTCCTGCCCTGTGGGAAGTCCAAGGTCCTCCCACCTCTATCCAGGTCTAGGAAGGTGAGCATCCAAACAGACTAGTCTCCCACAAGGCCAGTCCATACAGTAGAATCAAAACTCAGTGCCATTGGCAAACTTTTATAAACAATGAAAGACTAAAGTTAACAACACAGAAAAATAGCATTAAATTGACAGACTGGTAGACACAGGGGTAGATGAAAATCAAATGGCTCCAAAATCTCAACATCCAATTTTACCTCTTCAGAAGAGGACAACTAAAATAGCAATCTTTATCAAATTGCCAATTGATCAATAAAGAAACTGCTTGGACCTATAGCAATGCAGAAATTAGCTGGGTGGGGAAAACTAAACTGAATGCTGGAAGAAAAGAGGTGGAATCAGGGAGAAGTCATGAAGTTGAAGCTGGAGACAGAACACTGAAACTTTGCTAGCAGGCCACAACCACATGGTGATACA